TTTACAAAACCTACGGAAAATTAATCACTGAAGTAAAAAAACACACTCGAAAAATCAAATGAAAAATCTAATTTGAAAAAACTTCCAGAAAAACCCTAAAATTTACAGAATTTACCAAATGAAATTATCACCAAACAATCAAAAAATTTAAATGGAAACTTTAAAAAAACTTCTACCGTAAAACTGTAAAATTAATAAATCAATGTAAAAAGTAACCAAATCTATAAATGACTATTAAGATAAGATAGAAAATACAAAACGAAATAGACGAATTTAAAAAAAAAAAACGTGAAAATTTAAACGAAAAATAAATTGATAATTTAAGAATTATTGAAAAAACGAACTTAAGTGAAAAAAACCCCAACTAAATTTATGAAATTATTGATTTCCCCAAATGAAAATTTAAATTAACTAAAAAATTAACGCAATTCCGGGCAAAAGCCGAATCACCAGTGAGTGAAACTGATTTCACAAAAGCTGATCAAATTTAGCAAAGAAATTATACAATAACGCCTCAAACAATAAGTAAATTTAAAATCACTCACCCTCTAAACTCCAATACTGGATACGACCGAACCGGACACACGCGACTACTTTACGAATTGCACGACAAACACCAAAATTGAAAATTTGGCGCGAGCACGACTGAAACACCTGTTCTCTCAAGAAAGAAGCAGATTAATGTCATTCCGCAAGCGAAACACGGCTTATATTCGAGCATGCTGCTCGCTGATTGGTCAGAACGCTTCCCCCAATCGTGTGCATATACAAAGATGCTATCAACACTGAAAATTGTACTAAAAAGTAGAGAATAATTGTACTTAATTAACAAATTGTGTACGAACTGTAAGCGTCAAATTTTTAAATTTAAATAAGTACAAATGTAGGCTCTACTAATTGAGACTATAAGTTTAATTAATCAATTGATGAAAAAATCATTTTTATTTGACTCAATCGTGTGCATATATCAGCGCAATAATAAAATTTTATTAGATTACTAATATTTTTACTTTCCCAAGATCGTAATTTTTCTTTTTTCAAAACAATTTAATTTGAAAAAATGTAGAAAAAAGCCAAGACAAAAGTATTTTACACTGGAACCTTGCCAATCGTAAGAATAAGGCAAACCCGAATTCCCAGATACTAAGTAAATTAGGTCATATAACAAATAATTTGATTAAAATAGATACATAGGACCTAACAAAAATATATTTCACCTATTTTGACCGTAATTTATGATCTCATATCCGATTTGTTAACGATTTTCCTTTTTTTCGTCATTAGTAATTGTGAAAAAAAAAACATTTGATTAATATTTCTCCAAATTTCGATTTACATTGCTTTTCGGCAATTAAACCTCCAAACCCGTAAAAAGTACCTACCTACATCCTTGTCATATGACAACATAAGCGACATCCATAGCTATCATTATTTCCCTTTTGGCATTTTCGATGTAAATAACGACATCACAAATAACAACTAACTAGGAACTTGCTATTCTCTTCCAAATCTAAAATTTTCCTGCTATCTTCAGGAGTTCCTGCTCAGTTGAAATTTTTTATCCGTTTGAATTGATTCCCATTTTGAATTATATAATCACCATTCGACCTAGTGATTAGTTTCTAATGTGTATCTCAACCTACTATTTAGATACAATGATTTCTACATTTTTTTAACAACAGTATAATTTTTTTATGTGTCGACGAAATCTCAGCCTATAGTCAAGTCAAATTGTATTTTCTTTGTGATATTTTTATGTAATACGATACTCATTGTAACTATTTTATTAACAACAATTTTATAACAATTTTACAATTATTTTTAGAAATAATCAGTATAATTAACAATAATTTAGACGAAATTTTTATACCTAAAATGGATTTTCTTTTTAGAAATTTTTATTTCTAAACCTATATAGATAACCTATAGCTGAAAATTACGACCACTCTCAATGTATGCGTAACAGCGCTATAGCATAGCCTGCTGAACACGTTGAAAAATTCCTGGCGTTTCGCGAATTTCAGCAGCTGCTGCAACAATCCTTCCCACTAACTATTCCTCTGTTTCAACCGGAATGTCGTTCACTTTCATATAACATCATAAAAAAAATCGCATTCGATCAGGTCTGGTATGAACCTCGAGGTTGCCTGAAGACCATGCAATAGGTGCACACAAACAACAAATACTTTTTCCACATTATGTTTCAGTTTCGTTGAGATGTTCCTTTACGGCTTACGGGTAATGTAATGGACCTCCGCGTCGTATTAGTACCACATGTTTTGTCCGGCATACAGGGAAACAGTTTCTAACAATTCGCCCAAGGATTTTTCGCAGTCGATATTTTTTCACGTATGCATTGGGGCGGGTGATCGTAATTTTGAGCATCTTTTCATGTGAATAATTGTTGCTAATAAATACTGCAATGAGACAGAACTCGAATTTAAGGGGTGGTGGTTCAGTGGCGAATTGGGAACAGAGAGAATTCAAAGACAGACTTCGGTTTTATTATGTATAAATACAGCTGAAATAAATGTTCTAGTAAAATATAGAAAATAATATCAGACATATAATTTACCTGACACTACGTAAACTATATCCAATAAAGGATTTACACAATATTAATATAGTTTCGACACGAAAAAATGCCAGCCGTAATACACGTGATAATAGGTAATCTTTGAGTGTCGACCTAAATCGAGCCCAATTGTTCCGGTTGTTAATCCGAACAAATCGCACAAAAAAAACTTCAACAAAAACCAAAGAATGTGTACCAGCTTGGGAACCCAGTTGGTACCAGTTCTCGACAATCTGGTGAACCATGAAACATTATGTTTCATCTGCCCCCCAAGCTCCCAGACTTCCATAAATCCTGGAACGCAGGAGCTTCATCTTGCTTATCCACTCGGTGGAACATATCTCTGCATATGACTGACATAAAAGGTGCCTCGCTCCGCTTTGGAATCAGGATTTTCCAAAACATACGTGGCAAAACTGACCTGTTTCTTAACCCTAAAAGGGCCAGTGAAAAGCAGTAAATTTTTTTTTGTTTCCGCTGATATTGCCGACGACACCGCGTTTGTGAGCAACAAAACAAGGTCCCCAATTCTGAAAGGCACATAGGGACGTGACGCATATCGGGCCGCTCGACGCGCAGCCCTGCCCTGAAGGGCTTCTTTTGCCAATATTAGCTTCTGGTCATGTGATATTTCTCCGTGCTCCGCCTTCTGCGGTCGGAGTTTAGATGGTAGCAAAAACTCTGCAGGTTTATTAAAATGTAGTTCCACAGGAGTAAATCCGGTTGATTCGTGAACCACGTTATTCAAAAAATGCTCAAACTTGTTAATTTCATACGCCCACCGAGTATTCTTCGAGTGGCAATATACACGACATAACCGGCCCAACTCTTTCATTATACGTTCCGAGCTATTGGCCTGAGGATGGCGTACTGAGCAATGCGAGACGTCGATGTCTAATGACGTTAGCGTGGTTTTCCATGACTTCGCGGTAAACTGAGTCCCGTGGTCTGATAAAATGCGCTTCGGACGGCCGAATTTTGGGAAATACTCGAGTACTAGCCGATTTAGGCACGCCCGTGTGGTAGCTTTTTTCAAAGCATATAACGCGACGTACTTTGAGAATACGTCCAGAACAACAAGGACGTAGGCGGTTCCACCCCGGCTCTTCGGTAGCGGCCCATAGAGGTCCAATGCTACCAATTCGCTTTTAGTATTTGGAACTACTGGGTGAATCTCAGGCTTTGCCAGGATAGTTTGTTTGGTTTTCTGGCAAATTTCGCACGACCGTATTCGCTTTTTTATATCCCGATACATATTTGACCACCACGTCTCACGTTTCATCGCTGCCCAAGTTTTGTACGCCCCGAAATGACCTATCGGTTCGTGAAAATAGTCGACAAATGCCGAAGTCAAAACCGCTGGGACACAAAGTACGTAATGTTCTTCCGGGTCTCTAATAAAATACAATACGTTATCCTTTTTGGCGAACCGCAAGGGAGTTTTCGCGTCCGATTCAAAATTTAATAAAATATTTCCGAGTTTTTCGTCTTCGCGTTGGTAAGTCTCTATTTTTGATAATAATTTTGAAAAATTCGGATCGGTTTTAAAATTCGACAGGACCTTGAAACATCTATCCATAGGTGTCGCAGGGCGGTCAATTCCCGAAAAACGCGACAGTGCATCCGCAACGAAATTCTCCTTGCCAGGAATATACTGGATATTGAAAGTGAATTCCTGCAAAATTAAAGCCCAACGCGTTATTCGAGGCGATAATAACCGGCACGTATTCAAATAAGTGAGCGCGCGATTGTCCGTATACAATGTAAATTTATTGCCCAGAAGGTATGTGCGAAAACGCTCCAAAGCCCAGACGGCGCTTAGAATCTCTTTCTCACTCGCGCTATATCGCGTCTCTCTAGGTAACAATATTCTGCTAGCCCAAGCTACGACCTTTCTTTTACCATTTTCGAACTGGAACAATTGTGCACCCAAGGCTAAATCGGAGGCATCGACGACGACGTTCCATTCTAAATTCGGATTGGGATGGTATAACAGGGTCGCGTCAATAAGTAGTTGTTTAATTTTTTCGAATGCATTTTGTTCCGTATCGGTCCATTGCCAACGCTGTTTTTTCCGCAGTAGTTTTGTTAGAGGTTCGCAAATGGCCGCAAAGTTTGGACAGAATGGCCGGTCAAAATTGCACATAAACAAATAATGCAGCGATAAGAAATATTAATGAGTATTGGTTTCCGATTGCGGTCAAACGAAAATAATGCAGCGATAAGAACTATTATTGGGTGTTGGTTTACGATTACAATTTGATGCAGCGATAGGAAATATTATTTGGTGCTGGTTTACGATTAAAATTTGATGCGGGGTCGGCGATAGGAAATAATGATGCACCGAAAGTTTATCCGAAGGTTTTTCCGATCACTAAAAAATCATCCGCTAGGTATAAATTCCCGTCTTGGAGCTTACTATAAAATGAACCGTTCTACAGATAAACACCAAGTAATGGCGTCTAATAAACTCGCTCAATGTTTCAGTGTCGAGGGTAATATCGGAAGCGGAAAAACGACATTGCTCACTTCCATGCAAAAGACATGGAGCATCAATTGCGAACCGGTTGATATGTGGCAAACGTACGAAGGAATAAATTGGATTGAACAGATGTATAGTGATCCTCACGCCAATTTGATGCAATTCCAGATCATTGTTTTAGCCTCCTTTATGAAACGATGGCAAGATCCGATAAAGAGACCAACATTAATGGAACGCAGCTCTTTAAGCGTTGCCATTTTTAGTAAACACGCTTTGCTAAACGGTTATCTATCCCATTCCCAATATACGGCAATGGTAACATTGACTAAAAATCTGACGATGGTAACTCCAGTCGATGGGATCATTTATCTAAGGACTACGCCCGAAAATTCCTATGCACGTATGCTAGAACGCGCCAGATCGGAAGAATCGCTCATAACGCTAAGTTATTTGAAACAGCTGCACGAATTGCACGACTTGTTTTTAATGGGACGAGATGACGTTTTTGTTTTTGATGGCGACTTGGAGCTTGAACAACAATCTCAGGAAATTTGTCGTTTAGAACAATGGATGGTGTCCAGAACAAGTTCTCTGTAATAAAACTATTCATACATTTATAAGGTACCTATGTTTTTATTGATCCTATCATCAGCATTGTTTGTCGTTCTCTTTTATAGCCTTAACCGATTGTCTACCTTTGATCCAGCTAAATTTGACAGCGACCAAACATTCAAAATTACGGCCGACAAACCCGTTGATCGAAATGATCAGATATTATATTACGGCAAGTTATCGACATATGCTCAACAAAGCGAAAGCGACTGGCTGTTGAAGATGCGCTATATCTGGCTCAAAAGATATGACAAGGTAACTGATTTTAAAATTGCAAAATTGCTCAAAAGAGCATCCGTCACAGATCCTTGGTTACCGCAATGGACCGATTGGCGAAAAAACGACATTACTAGTTCGATGGGTTCGCTGCTAGCCTCGTTATGCAAAAGTTTTGTTGACGATACTAGTGCCTTTTTTCAAAACAAAGAACTGGGCAAATTATTGAAGAGCGCCGTTACGGCAATTCATGAATACAAAATACGGCCAGAAAATCAAGACAATTGGTACACGACTTGTTATACATATCCATCGATGTTGCTCTCAATGTATACCGACTTGCAGATAGTTTCTTCCATATACGATTCTAAATGGTTATACGAGTTCATTTCCGACATAGAACTGCTCATAAAAACGCCAACAAAGGCAGCCAGACAAGGCAAGTCAAAACGCACTTCGTATGATTCAATTTTACTAGGTACCAATCTTGTGTACGCAAAAAAGATTCTTAATCACGATATTGATTGGAACCACCCAGACTATGATTATTTCAAGAAACAGTTGAACATAGAGTTTGTCAAAGTTGGTGAAGGTCTCTATCCAGATTATTCTTGTGTGTTTCATGAAAAGGTGCGCTACTATGGTTATCTTTACAATAGCTCATATGCCAGTGAAATAATGAACATGTTCATTCCTAACAATTATAGCCAAATATGTAACGAATTGGAAAACATATTGGGTCATCCGGGCATCGACAACAATAACACATCCCTATGGGGGCGAGGTATAATGGTTGGTCGTCAAATAAAGGGTGGTGTTTTGGGGGTTCAAATTCTAAACTTTTCACGGATTATTAATGTCAAAAAATCGCGGTACTTTGCTCAAATTATTGGCCCCGTCCGGTATCTATCCTATTACGAATCAGATGTCGAACCGGGCAACGCACATTCAGCTCATTATTGGTTATTTTATTCGGAACCTATGACCCCGTTTGTGTCACGTCTCTACTCACCGGAAACATGTCGCTATCTTCGCGGTGTTTTACACAACGGTACACAATTTAAATTGGCACATAATACCCCGAACAATACATATAAATGGAATTCGACGGATTACTCTGCCTCTACATGTGCAACTCTAGGGTCGTGTACGGCTATCTCGAAAAGGTACGCCATTACAGAACTTAACGACTATTTCAATAATAACAACTGGCGTGCCGATGATCAATATACAACGAAACAACAGGAGTTAACTCTAAATTTAATCACTTGGTCAGCAGACATAGATACGCATAATTCTTGGAAAAATCTTCACGAGCTTGCCTTGGCTGATGACAATACTTCCGATTTTACAATGTTTAATAACGGCAATGGTATCAAATTAAAGCCCGAATATCAATTTCAATTTTTACTATGGGAACATCACGCGAGAGTTCACACCGGTATCACCGACATTTGTTTCGACGAGGGCATCTATTCGATCTATGTGTCTACCGAACCCTATAAAACGATCCAAGAAAAATTATGGATCACTCTTGAAACCGGTATCCTTATTTATCATAACATTGTACGAATCAACGGTATTGACGTGGCTCGATTCGAGTTTGAAAATAAAGTCCTATATGTTTTGCACGGCCAGTATGCTACAATGAACGTAGTCAACAAATTCAAAGACTCAGACGGTACTGAGAAATTTATCACCGAAACTACAGTTCAGGCCAAACCATACGCTATGCATTTGAAACAGTCCCAAAAACCAGATAGCGTTATTGCGATTTGTATGTGGGTATCGTTAGTGGAAAAAACTTACGACATCTCGTCCGATAACATCCAAATATCAATAGAATTTCAGCAAAAATATGTTCAGGACCTACTAACAATTTCTATACGGAATTATACAATTATCACTCAATCTGCGTTAGTAATTTTAGAGAAAATCGATGGAGACCATTATAACGGCGTCATTATTGACAGTCTCGATGAATATCACGATAACCACTACGTAACTTGTTTGGGTCAAACACGACTGATGGAAAAATACTTCAATGATAAATTTTACCTAGACTTTAGAGAAACGCAGATTCCTTTTAAATGGTCGTTCGACAACTTATACGATAATGAAATCGTTCGTAGCAGGTTAATATGGACCCCGGATCCATTACATACACCGTTACAATTTAAACTTTATCGCGGAACTCGGGCGTGGACAGGAGAAGGTCTTGTAGATGCAATAACCAAAGATGGATGTTTTATGTTAAACGATGATGGTAGCATTGGGAAACCATTCGTTTTTCCGGGTTTCTCTCAAGGCATCGACGATGTTATCGAGTTCAATACATGGCAGGAATGGAGAAACAACATTCATCTTGCATATAATAAATCGTCTAATAATGCATACGAACCAAAGTTAAAGACATTTGCGGGAACTATCAATAGTATGTAAACATGCAAAAATAAAAGTCCTGGTTTCTGCATTTTTATTTTAAAATAAACCCACATATGTAAATTCAGCATCGACTGTATATAAACATGAACTGCTCATTATAGATAGACCAGTCGAATAGTTGAATCGAAGCGATACGCATAAAGTAACAATGTCCTGTCGAGAATTTGGAGATTTTCAACACTACCTATCAAACAAGTTTTATTCGTTGCCAAGTAATGGCCGAGAAATCCTTTTTCAACGACTAGAGCACGCCCTAATTAGTTTTGAAGATGAATATGTGCCGCCAAACGATACACCTTTGTGTCCCGAAGTGGTTCAGCTAAAAACAAACGAGTTTTTCAACGATGAATATGTGCCGCCAAACGATACACCTTTGAGTCCCGAAGCCGTGCAGCTAAAACCTAAAGAGGAATCAAACGATAAATATGTGCCGCCAAACGATACAGGCGAGCGACCCATTTTGGATGTATCGCCCAGGTCTACTATTATTCCGATAATAGACCTTACCACCGACGATGATTGGCAACTTCGTTTGGAAAAAGTGAACGGGCCCAAGAAGTTGAAGTTGAGGTACCTCCAAGCGTTTGATGTATTGAACCAATTGGTTAAATACCATAAACCGATCATTGAAAGCAGGTCTCACGTTTATTATAAATTTGTTGGCTCCGAACACTCTCTTGATAGAGTTATTCAAAATGGTGGTTTCCAATTTGTCTCGTTACATGAAATACCTTTCCTGTGCGTTTGTGATGAAAGATCAGCCAAAGGTAAACACATGCATGCTTTTATTTTTCGAAGAATAACCGACAAAATTACACCTACAGGCACGTTTACTGATTTTAATGAACCGCCAATTACTTCCTTTTCGCTATGGGTTGACACTGCCCTTTACATGATAGAAAAAGGCCAGAGTCAAAAATATCATTGTAAAACGTTTACTTCTCCTTTGAGTATCAATAATCCTTTACTCAAACGAATGTTGAAAGATTTTCTAATGCTTGGATTGAAATAAATACACATTTGATTGAACTACTTTTGTCTTTTATTTAACAGCAGTACGAATTTTGGGTTGTGATACTTTTTCAGGTTTACAGGAATCTTGTGCTTTATCGGCTTGTGCAGGTGCTGTTGTAGCTTTCTTGTTCTTCTCTGGCACATTGACAAGCTGCACCTGGCAACGGCGGCATAACAGTTCTAGATAATTGGGCATTTCTAACGTATTCTTCGTGTTTCTCGTTTTAAAGTAAACGTACATGGATTTGATCATTATATAGTATTTCTTGACGTGCAGCTCACAAATTGACCCACGTTCCAGTAAGCTCCACTTATTTTCTTGATTGCAGAACGGGCAAAAATCGTAAATGTTATCGACGGCGCTGCGCCGAAGATGTACAAGTTGATGCTTTAAGGCTGAACCGAGCCGAGCCCAAGTTTCGGAACAGAACAAACATCGATAATGGCCTTGGGTTTTACAGCGTTTAGAAATAACGATTGATGCCAAAACGTTGAGCATGTACATCATTTTATTAAGAAAACATGTATCCAAAAGCTTCTCCTTGTTCGTTAACGTAGGTGCATCGGCCCCAGTTGGTATTGGGTAAGAGACGTACTGTGGGTCCCACTTGATCTCTGTGCAACGATCTTTGAATTTTCGTGAGAATTTCTTTAGCGTCTTTAGCCTCAAACGTTGAGCAGGGGAATTTGAATTTCTTTGGCGACTTTTTAATCCATTGCGCCCATATCGGCAAATCGATGCGTTGGGGTTCATCGTTTTCGTCAATCGCAAAAAAAATGGGTAGCTCAATCTGAACGCCGTCCAATTCGGCGTAAGCTTGTCGCGATTGCGTAGGTCGATCCAGGGAAACAATTGCTCCGTCGGCCAAGTTAAGCAGAACACTTTTAGAGCAGGCGCCTGGGTGTGCGTTTACAGTAGCCATCAAATGTGTCACCCAATTCCACTATGACGTTCTCGAATAATTTACTAATTGGTGTGAAAGCAGACGGTCGAATTTTCAACAACAACCGCTCGTACCAAGCAGTCACTTGCAGATTAACGTACAAGCTAAGCGTTTTAGACTTTTGATTGGCCGTTTCAGCAGTTTCTTCTTCTGATTGAATAAAACTATTGTTAATGAAGAGATCAAATTCTTCGATGCCGATTGAGTTTATATACCTAACTAGTTCCTCGAGCTCGGCCGTGATCGTTAAAGTAATTTCATCTTTAGCGGAGTTGTAATAAAGACCGTTACAATTCGCGTCTCCCAATAGAACGGTTTTCACTGTATGATTGACATAAAAATGATTAGCAACGCTCTGAATAACAGAATCGGGAGACATTGCAGCGATAATTTTGCGAATTTTGATGTCCCGTGAACTGCTGAGGTTGGAACGGACAATTATTTGCGAGCTCTCAAAATCCATATTTAACTTTGTAGCTTAACAATAATCGGCGCACTCGACCTGTTGATCAAAAAACGTGCTTTCTTGACTTCAAAAATGGTTTGCTTATTGAACGCGTTCCAGTTTCCCTTCAACTTTTCCACCGGTACCGAATCGTCAAAGTAAATGTGGTGATTTAGGAAAACGAAATAGTCGAGGTTTTGGAGCCCCGTTTCAATTGTTAAACCTGGTTCCATTCTACCATAAAGCATATCAACGGTAATGTAACTTTACTGCAATCGCACCCGAAATCCATTTTCGTAAGAAAATAAACAGACTTCCTTTGTCGGAGCCGCGCCATATTCGGCGTCTTCGCATGGACGGAAAAACACTTTATAATCCTCTAGGTTTGTGAAAGGAACGGGCAAATTAAATGACTTGGTACTGTCAAAAACAATTATTGGGTCGGGATAAAAACCCGACATACGCGTACCACATACCCAAGCCGTGTACATTAGGCCCGATTTGCGTTGCATACTCAACAAATGGGGAATAATTTCGAAAGCGTCTAATTCGTTTAGCGGTTTGTTATAATGCCATAAGCTTTGATATTTGTGTTGGTCTTTACTACGACGGTAACATAAATACTCTGGAAAAGTCTTATCCAGGTTGGCTAGTATAAGTTCTCCCCATTTGTCCTTTGGCCCCACGTTCCCAGTCTCGATTTCAAATCCAACTTGTCCGCGAATAAAGAAAGAGTGATCTTCAGTGTCGGTGTTGATAGTCAATTCGGGTCCTAAATTCAAGTCCTCCATTTTAGGATTCAGACATTTTAATATCGATTCAGCCCAGAGCCAACCCCTAGGAATAATAGATCGTAACTTTGAACTCAATGCGCCCATTTGATGCGTATTTGCAAAGAGTTTATGCAACCGGTATGCCGTAATGATGAACATGTAAAGCTGCTTATTGGTCGGCGAATTCGGAATATTATCGACAACTTTACTAATTAATTTTGAGTCTTTAATGCCTCTCCAAAGCGCACACAGTACTTCACAGTGCAGGTCGTTATGTTGCGTATTACGAAACCAACTAGAAAAAACCTCGCCATCAACTTGTTTCGGTAACCAGACGCTGCGAATGATCAAAGATCGTTTAGGACGCATCAACCATAAAATGAAACTATAACAGAATATGATCAAGAGCAATACTGGATACATTTTCGATCTTAACATAGATCGGATATTCCAACGACTTATTATCGTTTATTACACAGACCTAAGCGATCGGGCAGTGACAGAGTCTACAAAGTATCGCGGGGGGTCATCACCAACCACAGAGAACAAGGAAGCATGTGCCTTGTTCCATATGCCCTCGGACAGGATGACCCCTCAGTTCGTAGTTAGAAGGAACTTTAGGGTAAAAATTTATATTTCAACAACCTGTTATCGTTTTCAAAATGATACTACTGGTTTACTGATGAATTAAACGTTTATTTTGTCATGAACGTCGGGCAAATTCGTAACATAGTTTAAGGGTAAAAATAAACATGAATCCTACGGCGTGGACAGGAACAAGACGAGAGTTTGTTATTGGCTCCAAGCGTTTCAGCAACCGCATTGGATTTCTTCTGGCGCTGAATCGGACCCGTGTGGTGCTGCATTGCAAATTTTAAATTGTTTTCATACCAGTGACGATTATACACACAGTCTCTTCGTATTTTGCTCTGACTTGCACCCATGTCTATTTTCTAGTCGTCTTAGGCTGACGAGAAACGTTTTATACTTGAGGTTCAGCGTCCCCAAACTGAAATTGTGATTATTCCCAGGACTCTATCTCGGCAACCTATAAATATCAAGTTGTTGAGTATTTATAGCAATTCGTATATCGATTTCAAAGTTGATTAGAGCCAAGTGATATGTAACGATGGAACGCGAAATACAGTGGATCATTAGGCTTCGCGAATGCGAATGGTTTCAGTTGTTTCCAAAATTTATTTGGACGATCAAAAGATGCTATACACAGTTTAACTTTGAAAGCGGATGGGTGGAACGGTTCGGATTCGATTACGAGTTAACCGAGGATGGAGAGTCTGATGGTAGGAATTGATTCATTTGTTTAAGCGGTCCATGGGCACCATTAAACCTCGTTTATTGTACAATAAGAACATCGACTGGGAAAAAAATGTAAAGTTTCCAATTGTTATGGTTCTCAAACACGCTCAAGAAACGACGGATACGCCCGAAACGAATAAGGAAATTTTTACTTTCGGCCCGAGTTTTAGCCAATTACGTGACGTACCCATCGATAGTACGACCTTTACTCGTTACCGTTTCAGTTTGACAAAAAAGATCATCCGTGCAGAACCATATTTTTCATTCGAAGCGGAAAACGAGCATTGGTCAGAAGAGGACGAATCGACGCAGGAGCTGCATACATTCTTCGATGCAATAGAACCTGTTTACAAAGTAGTAAAATTCTTGGACTTTGGACCCCTGTATCCCCCTCGTACAGTACCGAAATCTTTTACCACATTGCCTCTTGAATATGAGAATGTGAAAATCAAGTACGATGGGACAAGTAAACTTTTAACCGTGTACAACGGTTCCCTTAACGGCGAATTGGAAATTGAACAATTTCAACACTTTATCTTACAGTGTGAAGAGGTGGTCTGCTCAAGGGATAATAACCAATCAAGTACGGAGCTGATTTTAACAGACCTTTGTATGGTCAGGAATTTCAGTACTTGCTCCAACTTACTTTACGGTACCGTGAAACCATTTTGCGTTCGAGGACCCCCGTTATTTTCTATTTCGATTCGCGATAGCAACTTTTGGCTGCAACATTTTCCTGACCGAATCGGACAAGTTTTCGTTAGCAGACCAATGTCGAAAGCGAGTGCCCTGACTTCAATACCAGGTATGCCATCTGATGGCTTGCTCGGTATCGGCAGAGAACTATATCAAAAAATCAAACCGTATCAGACCGTTGAGCTGTTGCACAAGAATGGAGAGTTATTTGCATTGGAACGATCGTTGAAACGATTAAAGTTGAAGGTAGATACCCAAAACTTACCAAACGGTATATTAGAATTCGCTGTAATGGATCGTTACAAATGTCTCAAATTTGAACGAATACGCAATGACAAATATGAACCAGACTCCTATTTGAAAATCGTTCAGCTCCTGAAGCTCAACATTGTCGATATCGTTTCAGAGGGTAAATAAAAATACACAAGTACTATTGAGCGTTTTATTCAAATACCTAACGTAAACATGTACTTTTGTTGGGTAAGACTAATACATTGTACGGGTAGGGCATACAACGATGATTATGGCGATACAAGTCTGTTAAACTATCGTTAAAGAGGGCAATGAAAAATATACAAATACCATTGAGCGATTTATTCAATACGTATACATTTGGCTTTGTTTCGTAAAAATTGTTGATTGTATACGTAGGGCGCACATTGATCACAGCAACACCAACCCGTTGAGTTTGTCCTCTCCTTTGCATGCTTTGTCAGGTCGTCTTCATTTTTGATTTCAATGTTACGTACAACCAAAAAACGTATTTCGTTATTGTACAAGCATATGGAGCGAACGGCCTTGTCGCCCTGTGCCTTTACTTTCGTCTTGTTTCCATGAACGTAAACGTGTTGATTTATCACCGGAAATGTTACAAGTTCCGATGCAAGTTTATAGAAGCTCTCAGGTTGACACTTTAACCAGCCTCCATTTTTATTGCTCCTCTGGTAAAAGCTCGTATGTGAAAGCGGTTCCTCTAATGCTTCAAAGACGTCGCTCTTTGCTGATACGTGGAATTTTTGGTTACTACCATCGAGATTACATCTACTCAATAAAGTCCACTTATTGCGGCGGAACAAAATTTCGTAAAAGCCCGCGTTCTGGAAATTCTTACTAAAATTTGACAAGAAAGAATTGAAGCTCTCTCGAAAATATTGACTGAGCGGTTCCTCGTAAACTTGAGCTACCGTAAATTTATTGTACTGCAACGAAGAGAAGAACTGAAAGCCTCCGTCGCCGATCATCAGGATAATTCGATTATGGTTATTTATTACGGCAAAGGAATTAAGCAGCGATGACGACGATTTTTGAGTCGTCTTTTTTCTTACGGCGAACATATCCAGAAACTTCAAGTCTTGCTCGCTAGAATCAATTGATGGAAACGAGCCACATTTCGGCGACGGTTTAAAGAACGGTACCAACCGTGGCAGACGATTTACAATTGAGAATATCAACTCTTTATAACACTCGTTTTGCAAAAGCAGTTTTTTCACCAACTCGAATATATAGGACTCTGCTCTAGAAAATGGTCTATCATCATCGACGTGGGGCAGGTCGAGGAATTGAAACGAACTGGCCAAATAACAATTGGGCGATTTTCGATCGGCTTGCAGGAGACCGTTGAAAAATGTAGAGTTGTAATCTTCGGTACGGTTTGTTTCGAGCTGCTCTTCATCGTCGGGGCAACTTGCGTTAAGTATGGTACTTTTCAAAAGTTTTCTAAATTGCAATTCGCTGTAGTGATTTGGGTCAGCCGGTTCGGTTTCGTTTCTCTTTCGTTTCGTCGTAAGAAAAACCACTTTTAGCTTCACATAATCCATCACTCGTACCTGTTCCAAGCTGGTAGAGAACGCTATGTACACGTCTACATTATCATCCGTTGTCCTAAGCTGAGCATTGTCGTCGGAACGAGTGGCTAACGTTGTGTAACCTTCTCCGCTTTGTAAATTAGAGAAATTCAACCAATCAAGTACCCAAACACGATCTCGCATCGAATAAGGTAACTTGGAGATGGTCCGACGTACGATCCCAATACAATGATCCAATGTATTAGGATCGTGAATGATCAAAAACAGATCCTTTTGTAAAACGTATTTAGTGTTCAATAATACGGCTGCCCAGTAGTTTAATTTCTCTAGCTGCGGTCCTTGGTTTTCGAGCGTAATGTTGAAATTAGAACAACAAAATGCGTGAGCGTATTCCTTCTTCGTTAGCGTTAGAGTTTCGTCCAATTGATAATGTTCAAGTCCTATATCCCATTTTTCGATAATAGGGTTTGCCATGGGAAAACATAAACATACTTGGCAAACTGCCCGACGACCGGTAAAAACTTTGACGTTAAAATGAGTTCTTACATTGTTATAGATGGAAAGGGCCATTAGTTCCCGAAATCCATTGATGTCAACTGCATCTATATTTTGTTCACCTATACATTCCAAATGTGTTTCGACTGAGGACTTGTAAGTTCCTTCTATCAACTGATGGCATACACCGCAAATGTCACTAGATTCGACCCGGACAACAGTTATAAGGTTCATTTGAATTATGGCCGCAATTTCTTCGCACAATCCCTCTATGGAGGTCGACATGGCTCAGGAGCTTCAACAGGTTTTATCTTTAGCAAAGGAAGCCGTTCGACTCGAAACTGAAGGCCTTCATAAAGATGCAGCGGTTTTATGGCGAGACGCCGCCAGTATTTTGGTGGCATACGCCAACGCAAATGTAGATCTCGATGAAGTGGGGATTGTTACAAAGGTAAAATCGTTAATCGGTTGGTTAGTATCACGAGCAATAGAAAACAACAATATCAAGCAACTAGCGCCGAACTATCTTTCCTTGAAGAGTTATCAAGATTACATTGCGAAAGCTATGGACGAAATGTCACAGAGTGGCACAGAATCAGACCAGTCAGATTTTGCGATTCGTGAACCCAACGAAATTAAAGCGCCCAATTTATGGGATTTGAGTGGCCAAGAGGACGTCCGTGATCTTATTGTCAGTTTATTTGCCGCTAATAACACCTTCAATGTAATGATGTTTGGACCTCCGGGTACTGGAAAAACCTTCATGGCTGCATCGATAGCGAAATCGTATAATCTACTTTTTATTGAAGTAAACAGTGCAAATCTAATGTCGGCCTATGTAGGCGGCACCGAAAAGAACATTAAAAACTTGTTCGAATTGGCTCGTAAAAAGGTGACGCCTGATCGTTCGGTCCTAATCTTTTTCGATGAGGCCGAAGCGATCCTTTCGACACGAAAAGACAGTCCTATCAATACCAATCCAGTGACACAATTTATGATTGAAATGGAAAAAGATACAAACAAAGGCGTTTACTTTTTCTTTACTACCAATTTATTGAGTAAAATAGAGCCAGCGATAAAGAGACGTTGTTACGGACTATTTATTGGCTATCCGAAAACTAAAGAAGCCATTGCATCATTATATCGTAACAATTTGGCCAATTTTAAGAATACTGTTAGCAACGGAACCATAGAAACTTTAGCAGCGGCCAATGATAAACTTCTCTCACCTAGCGCCATTGCGAGCATAGTCAAATTGGCTTCCACTTTGGCCAATAAGATTACTACAAATGATAAGTTTCGTAGAGTAAGAGATCACTTGTACATTAAAGATTCTGATGGTGCCTATACGTTTGCAGATGTTTCTAAGCAAGAAGGGAAACCTATCACAAAACACATTTTAGAAATTGTACCCATCAATGATAATCATCTGATAAATGCGTGGCGTGTTACACCATCTGCCATTACGCCTGATGAACTAGAACTTTATAAAGATGAGGCCAAAGAGCTATTGCAACTGTAAGGTTCGATTTTGGCTGAGAAAATTATACACATAATTGTTTTAAGTTGTTTATTTCACAGAAAAATTAACAGAAAAAAGGTATTTTTTTTTTAAAAAAAAAGTAGGTACCTGTTGGACAACGAGCCGGTCGAATCGTCGTCCAACAGGTGCCCAATCTTCTTTCTTCTTTCTTCTGTTTTTCTTCTTCTTTCTTCTGTTTTTCTTCTGTTTTTCTTCTTCTTTCTTCTGTTTTTCTTCTCAAAGCTTGGACTGGCTCGTTCCCTGCCTTCGAGCCAGTCCAACCTTTGAGGCAGGGCAGGGTGGCACCCCATCGTCCCAGTCTTCGTCTTCTAGCAACCCGTCTTCTTGCTCCATGGCCACCAAGGCCTCGGTGGCCTCTGGAACTGGCACGTCCCAGTCCTCTTCTTGCTCCGTGGCTTCCGTGGCCTCTGGGACGGGCACGTCCCAGTCCTCTTCTTGCTCCGTGGCCACCGTGGCCTCTGTGGCCTCTGGGACGGGCTCGTCCCATTCATTGCTCCAATCTGCCGCCGGCGTGAAATAATTTTCGGCGGGCGGCTCGTCGGGCCACTCGTTGTTCTGAAGCACAACACCGGCGGCCCGTTGACGTCTGCGGCCGCCTCTGTGCCGCCTGGACTTGTTCAGCTCTGATGATGCTGCTGGTGGTGGTGGCGGCGGCGGCAAAAGTAACAAAGCCGCCACCGTATAGCCGGCAGGGACGGCCGAAGCTGGAGGCCACGGAAAACTCGAAAAACTCGGAAAACTCATTTTTTTTCGTTACGGTAGTGACTTGTCTCGATCGTAAGTAGAAACTGACTCTTTCCACTAAACATCGGCTGCTTTTATACAACTCGCGCATGGTGCATCGGAGCGGTGGGAAATGCCCCACCACCACTATAAGTGATGCAATATGTATAGATTCCAACAAAGGTGTTTAAGTCATCAAAATAATAATGCGGGGTCAGCAGAGGTGTTTATGTTTAGTAGGAAATTTGCTATCGAAACCATGATAATGCCTCCCCAGCCCACAGAAACAAATATTGTGGATATCTTGATAGGTTGTTTTTATCGCCCCAGTTATATATTGACAAATATTATTCGCCAGTGCGTAGATATTGAGTTTGGGGTTAACAGAGATTTGGTACAAGTAACTTCCCTGAGAACCTGGCTTCAAAAACAACTTGTTTTGCTATTCGTTCCTGATAAGATGAACGTGAAAATTGCAGAGTTTTCGATGGACTTTGTGAAAAAAACAGATTTAACTGGAACTATGTACTTGGAAAACCTTTTTCTGTGGTACATATTAAGGCGACACGTTAATCTAGACACCAAAGAGGGTTTAGCTTTCCTACCGTCGCTCTACAGGGGCATGATGACTAGCGATTCTATAATTTTGCCAAAGGAGCTAGACGTAAATCAAAGCGATCGCTATTTTATGCGCGTGCTAGCTGCAAATATTTGGAACGATACCTTTGGTACCCCGTATCAATTTAACTTTGGGCCTTGTTGTAAATATGCCTTGATGTGCGATTTTCCCCGAAAACTCTCCGTCGAATTTCGACCGGTGCCATATTTCCGTTTCAAATCGGATTTCTATTACATGGAAAAATTCCGATCGCAGGATCTCAATTGGTATAGATTTAAGTCTACGGTATTACCTATACCTTGGACGGGTTTAAAGTCGGGAGAATATAAAATGATCGATGGATCGAAAAACATTGATCCGATTTACCCACCAACTTGGTCCGTGCTCAAATTGTTGTTTATAGATCACGAAAACGAAACGCTTCTGTATATTGTGGGAAATGAAGGTTTATGGCTAAGTAAACGGTCATCCCTATCATTACCCGGATTAGTCATGGAAATTGATAGTATATGCCGTAACCGAATCAAAGCAAGAACGGGTCTGGGAGAAACATGGCTTTTCGAAGTTAACGAAACCGACGAATCTACCTGCGACAACATCATTTCAACTAAAGTAGAAAATGGTAAATGCTTTATTACAGTAAAAAAGGCACGCAACCAAAAAATAACATCTTGCCATTTGAAGTACAATGCCGACAACCGTTCGCAGATTTTGTTTTCCTATCAAGATGGTATTGCTACCATTGATGGTTTCCAATTTTCCTGGTGATGTATTTGCGTAAACTATTATGCGTGGCTTGTGCTTCCACTGCTGGCTGCTCCATCTACAAGTGGCATCGTAGCGATGATGTTTTCATCGTCCGTCTCGATATCATCATCAAACTCGGGTAAAGAATCGCCATCATTACTTGATGCATGATTTTGTTCAACGGGCTCTCGTTCCAAACGTAAACGTTTTTCGGCAGGTTGATCACCACGTATTTCGGCTTCCGAGGCAGAGTGATTTTCCGTTTCGATAGTCGGTTCTGTTTCAGGTAGATTGGATAGAATTTCGTCTGCCGCTTCTGGAAACTCTTCTGTCAATATGTTTTGTAAAAAGCTGTGTTGCATTTGCGATGTTGAAATGCTTGGTTCACTCAAAGAGGAAATCATGTCATTAAGGTCGCGTGAAATTTGCGTTTTCATGTTGTCATTTAGTTCGCATTTACTATGTGAAACGTCATCGGTACAATACATTTTAACGGTTTCTATTAGGAACGCAACTATTGGATTTATGGGCGAATATACGTATTTCCGAGATTGCGTTTGACGATTGAAGTAGGCTACATAATTGTCCAACATTTCTTCGGTAGGTCTTTGGGGTATTTTAAGAAGCGCTAGAGCCGTAAACGATTTAGCGTATATGGATTTAGCCATTTTCAATATGAATATCGCCGAATAATGAAACTCGGCAGCTTTTTGATATTCCCGAATTAAGCAGTAGGCCGTATCGCGCATTTTGTCATGTTCCAGCATCCGGCTTAGGATGAATACGGTTGAACTTGAGAGAATTGGCGTAACTTGAAGCCATACTTTCTGCTGGCTGCGACGAATAAATTCTAATAAGGTTATAGAGGCAACCATGTCGACGTTCTTAATAATGGCAATATTCAAAACGTGCTCATTAATACTGGGATTTTTCTGTTTATACTGGCTGTCAACGCTTGACCTAAAATTTCCACAAGAAACGCTTACCCGTTACCAGAATACAAATTTCTATTCCAACTACCCACCAGATAGTATAGTTGAGAAATTTATCGATTGCGATGTAACGGAAATGATTGAATGTGATGTTAATAATCAAATGGCCTGTTTATCTTGTAAGCAATTAAACGCTTCCTGTATTCATTTCGAACGAGATATGACTCTCAGCCTCACCAGAGATAAAAGTGTCGTTACATTAAAAGCGAACCGTGACGCTGCTAAAGGCTATTGCATAAAAAGTACACGGAAAAGGAAATGCAACCCTCTAACAGGAAACTGGGTCTTGTTCGAAACTGATCCGGAAACGGAGACTATGGGATGGATATGCAAGTGTACGTATCCAAATCTCGTTACCCAAATCAATTTAGCCAGTGATTGTGACGTTGAAGTTGGTTGCGGAAAGTATGGCAAATTTGCTCGTTCCGACATTGATCCTATGTCACTTAATTGCTTATGTGACGACCCGTACATATCTGCATTTGATAATATTCGTGGACCTCATTGCCGTTTACCAAAAATCTTCGAAATTAAAACGGACGTTAGTTATTTGCCCGATCAAGCGACGATTCCAGTTAGTTCAACTGATCCTGAGTTTAGGCATAAATTTGCTCACCCTAATCTACGCCATGTGCCAGATCCGTGTAGATTTATCTTTGAAGGAAACGAACCGGCAGCGGGTTGTCATACCAATGGCGAAACCTTGGGCGTGCATATTTGGCCCAGTTATTTACCCGTCGCTGACGATTTTGGCGAATGCAACTTTGCTATGAAACGTACCGAATCAATCATAGAAGGCTACTTGTTTTACTCACATCCTAAATATTACGATAAAATAATACCGATATACATGACAGATTTGGAAGGTTTACGGCGCTTTTCTTGGGCCACAAACGAACGTTTAAGGTCCATGTGGCAGTTTCAGATAAAAGTCGGTACGCCACCAGCATCGATTAAGGATTTTAACGCGAATAAACATATTTACGTTATGAGTGCATACATCGAACCCGATGTACATATTCCTTCTTCAGTGATTGATTATCATTACGAGGAATCGCGTTGGTTCTCAACTACCCCGAATCGACAATATAATTGTGGGTTTTACAATCGCTTCGGAGCGGGATACTTGGATTCTCCATATCCGATTAAACCGTGCATGGGACAGTGGTTAGACGGTCCAAGCTACCCGCTGCTGTCACCATGTCGATTAACTAATATCGGCGATTACGAGGCGAATCGATGTTCACAGAGCGCTTGTTATTGGCACAACTTTATTTGGCCTAGTAACGAGAGAAAATATACGGAAAACCACTGGGGATATCCATCGCTAATGTTCAGAGTTGCTCAATCTTCGCTCCATCACGGACTGTGGAAAGCTAAACTTTTCCCACCCGTCTATACCGACCAGAGCGACTTTAAACGGGTATTTTACCATGACGGTCGACGAATCATTTTCAATCCGAAAGATGTGACAGAGGCAAATGCAATCGTTGGACCGAATTTCCAGCGTCGCATAGCTCGTGATACAGAAGCGACAGACAAGGACGACGGAGTGTCGTATTTTGTTCACCCTTCGGGAACGCGACCCGCCTACAAATTTCAATCGACCAGTCTAAAATATCATTTGGATAGTTACAATACCGATTTCATTCGAAAATAAAACAACGTAACTGCTGCGGGTTACTTGGGACTTTATTTAAAGGTAATAATCATGCACACACGGGTCCAACGATCAAACACTTGGATTTCTGCTGCTTGTCGAAAAATCTCTAGTTAGTCCCTGTAGATCCGAATCCGTTTTCTCCGCGCTGGCTATATTGCAACTCTGACACTTCTTCCAATTCTGGCAAGTAAATTTTTTCGCAAATTAACTGAGCAATACGGTCACCTTTCCTGACGCGAAAAACTTTGTCAGAATGGTTAAACAGCAAAACTTGAACGATTCCTCTATAATCAGGGTCGATAACTCCGGCCCCTATATCGATAGAGTGGTGCAACGCAAGTCCCGATCGTGCGGCGATACGTCCATAGCAGCCAAAAGGCAATTCTATTTTTATGCCAGTGTTGATAAGCGCCTTACTTCGTGCCGGGACAAGAACTTCTTCAATACTTTTCAAGTCGAATCCGGCTGCTTGATCCGAGCCTTTAGTCGGAACGTATGCATCTCGAGAGGATCTCGTAAATTTTAAAACTGAACAGCTCTTACCGGAATTCATCATATGCATTAGGGCTTGCATGTATTTCAAGCAAATGTACGACTATTATATACTATTCGATCCTACGAGATTGGGTACGATTATTTGTGGGAGAAATCAAAATCCGTACTTCAGTATGTATACAAGTCTTTATTAAATCAACCAATTTACATGTATGTAACGCTAAAGTGAAAGGACAAATTAAGATGCAAACAGGTCTTCAAACTGTCTCAAATAAACTTCTGCTTGTATCGCGTTCAAATCACATCCACAAATTTTACGAATATTCCTTCTATACCAGAAAATGCACCTTCCATTAAGTTTGCTGAAATTGTTGTAAGTCAAACCCGCCTTGTATAACGCGCTCATACCGTGGTTCCACTGGAAAAACTCCTTTGGATCGTTGTCTTTGAACTGCGGTACGTCATCCTGGCTGATACGGCAAATCTGTAAATAGTCCAAGGAAAGGCACAGCAAGTACAACATGAAATTGTCTCGCAAATAATCAAAGGCTCGATCTGCAGGCAACTGATTAATTATTTTGGTCAGGTCCAGCGTCATAAACCAGGCTATGATTGCGTTTTTGGATTCTCGTTCACTGAATTCGTATTTGTTTTTGTACTTTGTATTCAATAGAGTTTGTACTTTGAGTGCATGTTCATGTCCTTTTGCACACTGCAACGCTGAATACCAAAACGCAATCCGTTCTGGAAAAATTGTGCGAGCCACTTCCATTATAAATGTTTGACAGCAAATAAATATGGTTAAATCACTTGAGGTAGCGAACGGCGGCTGATAGAAGATCGGGGACAATCGACATTTTTTAAGGACTTTTAGCTTGTTTTTTTCGATGCGTCGTGCAGGAAATAGGACTTGTAATGTGGCTCTAATGCCCGATACTATGCCACACAAATCAAATATACCGGATATTAAACCCATATTGTATTGACACGTTAATCAGGAACTAATTGACTCGGCAATACGGACGAAAAAAATTAAGACCTCGTCGATATTTATACCCATCGAGAGCTATATCACTGTAATACATAAACATTCACGCGCAATCGAATGCTGGCAAAGATCCGATATAATTTATGTTCGGCAATGATCTTAGCAAGGAGTGCTCATTTCCCGATGTACCATAAACAAGGAATGTTGAAATTGTGAGATCGTTTTTAATTGCGGCAGGTCAGGAACAGCTGCGAAATACTTCAAATTACCTTATAACGACGGTAGTAAAGTGAACTTATTTACTGTTGTTCCATCGAGAATAAAATTACCATTTGCATGTTTACTGAGACCGGGAATTGATTCACCTATTACGAGGATTATGAAATCTCCGTTATTAACTGGACTAATAGAGAGTTCGGTTGGATTGACTTTGTTTATCGCAACATCGTTTAGTAACGTATTGATCTTGTACGACATCCACTCACTGACAGCTATCGTCGAGATTTGCGGTTCAATCGCGTAATTGATCTTACGAGCCGTGATTCCATTTTCCACATTCAAATTGAGCACTACAGTTTTACTGTTTGTACCCGAATCTTCGACATTCGATTGAATGATCCCAGCCGTGGCAAATGTGAGTGTTTTTCCGATATAAACCAAACTGCTGTTTATTCGGGCCAAAAGATATTTACCTTCGTGCACATGGAATAACTGGGAACCGCGAGACTTGATAGTTGGCGCGGTGAATTCTAAATTATTTTCGTGTTTGATTCCGGGAAAGTAAAGTTTTTGCGCTCCTGTATAAAATTCCAAACCGTCCCAAGCGATTGCGTTCGAATGAGTTTTTGCTGGAACGTTTCTCGGTGAGATGGAGATGGGGTCCAATTTGTTGCTTTCCAACATTTGAATCGAAGAGGGTATCGTCGGGAAGGGCCTGACGTTACGCGACACTCGATAAATGAGTCGAGCATATAAATCAAAATTGAGAGGTACCGCTTGCTCTCCAATTATGTCGATTAGAGTCGCATAATAGTTACGTTGGCCGACGTCAATTTTCAATGTCGACCAACGGTAGAGTTCAATTAAATCGTTCAAATTCACTAACGGTCGAACCGAATGCTGAGTAAAATAGTCGCGAACTATTTGCAGGTCAACTTTCGAACCATTTACTCTCGTCGATAAAATGTAGGAATATACAATGTTGGACAAATCGGAAATGGTCGTCGGATTCACGGTTAGCGTTATCATTTTCAGCAACTCGTTTATGTAACACGTATTGGTGGCCTTTGGATATTTGGCCAGATAGTAAAGTAACGAATTTCTATCGACCGAGTTTCTAAAATCGAACGTATTGAGCGTGGGCAAATCTCCATTGACAAAAAGTCCTCTTACGTCGTTACTTTTAAATGACGTGGCATTAGTTTTTAGATCGTAGTACAGACACATCGACGGTGACAAATTCAGGTATAAAAATCCGAATCCTATGAACAATAGTAAAGCGAGCGCAACTATCATAAAAGTCATCTTATTAATAGTTTCCTCTATCATGGGCTTGGCTCTTGTTGAATCCTATTAATTAGAGCGGCCAACCCTTCGGTTTGTTTCTTCAAACGTTTATTTTCGTCGTTGCATTGCTTCAAGCTGGAAATCGTTGTTTTTTGCTGCTTTGTTAGTTCGTTAATTTTGACTTGTTGTTCTGCGATAGTTTTTGCCGAACGAGTAAAATCGTCATAGGACATGGCAAATTGTTTCCACATATTGCTTATACGTTCGATTAAAGGACCGGCAATATCGGGCTGTTGGATTTTTAACCGTTCGAGCTGGGATAAAAACTCTATAAATTGGTCGGAGCTTTTGGGTTTTGGTATGTTGTTTTTCTCCAGATATATTGAAATTTCGTGCAAGAGATCTGGTATTGGTGTCATGGCATTTAGCATTAACACTTTTTCAGCAGCATCGCCAACGGCAAGAAAAGCACCAGGATGACCGACTATTTTGTGTGACTCGCTTTCCATGAGCGTTGCATATGTCCAAAGCTCATCCAGGATGGTGTTAAATTCCTCCAAGTTACTATCATCGTGGTCTTTCAAAGTTATGTTTTGTAGAAGTAATTTGACCTTTGTCCAATTCACCATGACTTAGTAGTATTCTGCCGACATTTTTATAACGCAAACTGTGAAATTTGATTCCGTGCGGTGGCGTCGTTCCGAAAACGTTTGTCCAATGTTTATTGAACTTTTCGTAGGGATTCAAGACTTGGGCGGGTTACTTTCTTGACCTATTAAACGGGCGACAACACGACCTAGCAAATCGTTTGGTCCGTTCCATTTTACCTGCCCGATATGATTCGTTTTACTGATGTAGATTGCAATTTGTTGTTTATCGCGTAATTTTTCTAATTGAAATTTGGTCATGGACAAGATTTCGTTCAAGCGTTTTCCGGTGAAGGCGCACAAAAGAAAGATGGCCGCGTAGTAAGAAAAATCAGGCTCGGTGTTGTGTTCTAAACTAACTATAGCATACTCGACCATTTTGTCGAACTGCGATTGCGACAGAAAATTCTCCCTTATAGTTTTGAATTGGCCAATTACATTTTTAGGAGGTCTAATGTCCGTTTTCTTTTTAATCAAGGCGATTACCCGTCTAACCAGATCTTTAGACAAGCCATGATCGGTCGACAGTGCGTTGGCAACATTTTCGTAATCGCTACTTTTGGCAATGGCCGTCAGAAATTTATTCGCCATTTCCACGACCCGTTTATTGCGCTTATTCACCACGTCCGATGGCTGTTTACGCGTGTGAATTAATGGAGTATCATTGAAAGATTGGCCATATCGCGCATTTGCCATAAGTAGTTACTTAATTATGAATTGGCGAACGTTTCTGTTAATAATGATTACGGCTTGGATATTGGCCAACTTTCTACTAAAAACCTTCTTTCATATAGCCATCAAAACGATTACTTATTTTAGGAGCATACGATACTCGCCATTCGAGACGAATTCGGAATGTTTCCTTTATAAACACAAGAACTATTATTTGTACGAACCGAACAATACAAAAAGCTGCTTAATATTGTATATGCACGGGGGTGCATTTGTGGCTGGCAGTGAAAGTTCTGATTTTCTATCACGTCTGGCCAACCATACCAAATGTCGAATATATTCGATACGGTATGGTTTAGCGCCCCGTTACAAATTTCCCACACCTATCGAACAATTTCTGCTCATCGGTGGACGTATCGTAACCCAGCAAGAACCACCGTGCAAGTCTTTATATTTTATGGGAGATTCAGCGGGAGCGCTTCACGTTCTCCAAAGTTGGCTCGCTATAAAGAGTACCATATGGCAAAATCGCCTGCCAAGTATAACTGGCGTGCCCATTGAATTTAATCTAAAAGGTTTAATTCTACTGTCTCCCTATATCGATGTTAACGATTCGAGTGTGAGCGGTTATTCCTTTCCGATTATTTACAAAAACATTTTGGATATGTATGGACCGCTATCGGAGTTACGCCGCTTCGACCCCCTATTGATAGAGAGCATGATTGACCTCCCGTCCAGTCGGGATGCCTTAGTTGATCCACAACGACGAATAACGGACATTCCGATTCTCGCTATTGATTCGAAATTGTATAGTTTTGCTCATCACTTGTTTAGGCTAAAGCGAACGTGGAACACGTCAAACTTACAAATACATTTGTTCGGCGACGAAATTCACGACTTTATGTTTCTTCCATCAAAATTCTCCAGGCCAACTAACCTGATTAAGAAATTTATCGAAACGCATCCATAGAAGGCCGCCGACGGCCATGTATGATGTTTTAAGAGAAAACGGTATCGTCCTTTGTGGGCGTATTAGTAGAAAGATCGGCTATGCGTATGCGAAACGAGCGATCCTAATTATTATTTTTTTTGATCCTTGATGCCCGAAATGAATCGTTGTAAACGTGAAGGGAATTGAGTGAACGCCACACCGTCGATATTTTTATAGAGCACTTCAATTTTTGACGCGTATAACCAGTATTGATGTTTTAATGGTAAACAATTGAGTGCCAAGAGGGCAACTGTAATAAAACCGACGAAACCCAGAATTTCTGCGCATTTCATTTTTGCGTACTTATAAGCCTTGTTAGAACGGTACGATGGAAATGAGCGTGTCGAAAACGTTAAAAGCAATTGCGGAAAACCCGTCAATAGCCATCGAAACGTCTGCGAACATATTGGCCAAGTTTCAATATTTTAGCGGCAATGCTGATACGTTGCAATGGTTTCAGAAATATTTGACGGATGGAGAAAAAATTGCAAGAGTGATGGCAGTGGAAAATATGAAGATGTCGTTAAGCGAACAACTTTCATATCTTCTGACGGAAAACTTTATATTCGAGGCTGTGCGACTAGTGAAAACCCAAAATCCCAATATTACTCTTGTAGAACTATTACGTACAGTGACTTTGCCGAAAATTACTCTTCCACCCTTTAATCCTGAAATATACGTGCCCATGTTATGTCGGCTGTGGAACGTTACGGAAGACAGTATGATCGAATTAACTTGGGACAAATTTCCAAGCAACGATGATGACGATTCGGACGTTCGTGCACAAAATCGTATTAACATCAATAGCTTTCTTCTGTACGAGGCAAAAATTTTACTCGAAAGTTTGGCAGCCTGGTACGGACAAAGTTTCAATACGCTTCCCTTTGCAGAATTCATGTGCCGTTTAAACTGGTTTATTCGGTATTCGTTACGACAGTTTGAGATGGAGAAAACCAATGGGACAAATGATCTATCCGAACTAATTACCACGTTTACGCAACAATTGGCCGAGGGTGTCTCGACGGTGTTCAACTCGCCCGAAAATACTCTCAAAGATGTCATTTGTGCGGCGTTCTTTTTGGTAGACGAACGGCGATAAGAGGAAAACTTTGAACTTCATCTGGACGTTTCAATTATTGATTTTTACCGTAAATTACTCGACTCGCATATAA